GCCTGTAATCCCAGCACTGGGGAGGCTGAAAGCAGGAGGATCACCATGACTCTGAGCTGCATAGAAAGATCCTGCAACGACCAAATACATTAAAAAAAAACAAACAAAAAAAAAACTTATCACGATATTAAGAGAGAGAGAGCATGTCCTGATTTGGAACAATAGAAAATGCTGTTTTGTTTTACGTCTACAAGTTTGTTCGTTTATTGAGACAGGGTCTCACTATGTAGCCCACAGTGGTCTGGGACGCGTGGCAATCCTCCCGCCTCCACCCTGGAGTGCTGCGGTTGCATGTGTGTACCACCACACCCAGCCATAGCTGGTAATTCTTGTACTTTATGACGCTGAGTGGGCTGCAGTAAGTGGCCCTGACCACAGGGCAGGCCCCATCCAGGCCCTCGGGGCTATCTGCACACCTATGGCTCTGCGGCGGCCGAGGGGCAGCTCCCAGACACGTGTCACAGGGAATGTGGCGTGCCTGGCCTCCATCCAGGGGCCTGGGGTCACCCTCACCAGCTCCTTCTGGCTCTGGATCACGGCCAGCGCAGCCTCGTGGGTGCGGCAGTACTGTCTGCCTGTGTTCCAGTCTCTTGGTTCCTCAGAAAAGAAGTAGCACTTCCTCCCGTAGAGCAGCCAGTCCTCCGGGCAGGGCGCCTCGCACTTGATGCAGCCCTTGGAGGCTGCGGGGGGGAGACAGAGCTCAGCATCTGCCCACACAGCTGGCCCCCACCCGGCCCCCAAGAAGCCCACCCTGCCTCCCTCCACCTGCGTCAAATCTGACGCCCCCGAGAGACGCTGCGCAGTTCCAGTGTCCACAAGGATTGAATGTCACTCCCCTCAGTGACAGAGGGGAGCTGGGAGGCTGGCGGTGTCACTACAAGGAACGGGACAGCAGGTGAGCCTCCAGGTTACACACCTTTGGGTTCCTCTCTCCTCTTCCCCCAGCTTCAAGGCATGGAACCCCAGAAACTCACACTGGACAGGGACCTCCGCTGACCCCTGAGCCGCTGGCTAAATACTGAGTCCTGGCCCGCCCCCTGGTGGACTAGGCCTTCCTCACGTGGCCACAGCAGACCCCTTCTGGCCCCTGCCTCTCTGGAAAATAGATGCTAGACCCCTCCTCGTCACTCCAATGCTATCTCCTCCACCACTCCTTGCAAGGAATGCTGTCGCTGAGACAACTGCGGACCCACACACTGGGGCTCTGCCCGCGGCGCAGTGAGCACGGCGCTGCCTTCCCACCTGCAGACTGCAGCAGCTAAGCCCTGCGCTAAGCCCTGCGCTTCAGCAGGACCTGCTTTGGAGCCAGGCGTCCTGGTGCCCTGGACAGGCGTCACTCAGCCTTGAAGGCTGCTGCCACTCAACCTTCCACACATACCTCACTCACTCCGCTCAGCGTTTTCCTTTTTAAAGGCAAATTTTAATCTGGATCCCCGCCCCCACTTGTCACGTGGAATTGTGTTTGGGGATTGCTTTGCTGCAAATTCAATAAGCCGTTCCGTTTGTTTGCCTGTTTATTTGCTTTCATACAAGTGGTTGATTAAAATGCCAGGTGAAGTAAAGCAAAGAACACACCCTGGATACTCCAGGGTCTGCAGCCCTGTGGACAGCCCTGGGCAGATGGGTTCAGTGAGAGGCAGACTCCCGGGAAGGCTGACCAGGATGGGAGTCTCACCGAAATCATGAAGGGCTCTGTCTACACCCTGCCTTGACGCCCAGCCTAGCCAGAGGGTGAAAGGAAAGCGACCCTGTTCGTGGCAGTTATTCTAGGTAAGGGCCAGATAGCTGGGCCTGGTGGCCACACTATCTGGTTCTAAACACCCTCAAACCCTGAACATACAAGTCACACAGAGGCGGGCTTGGTGGGACCCAGTTGCTGGTGGACTTTCCCCCAGTTTTAAGAAGTCTCACAGTGCTTCTCGAAAAGTTAAGACAGAGGCACCGAAATCCCCTTTGCAGGTCTGCAGAGGCCATGACACACAGTGACTGGGGTCCCCCAAGAGCGGTGAGCAACCCATTCGAGAGCTGCACCTGTCCTCTTTCATGTCTTTGACCCTTTCGTTCCCACCGTTCATCAATGAAGCTCAAGCTCTTTCCTCTGTAACAAAAGATGTAGACGCTTCCACTCCTTGTAGTTTCCTTTCTTTAATGCTAATTCCCATAAATGCAAATATTAACAGAGATTTTGTCTCTTCTCCTTCAATCTGTTGTTGGAGTAAATTTCACGTCCCCAGGTGATTAATCAAAGAGTGCAGAGATTAGCCCTCCACTCCATCCCTGGGAAATTCCTCCTGTGAGCCAATGTCTCCTGCCCTGGGAAGCCACCAGCAGTGTTCCCTCTGTCACTGCACTTAACCCTGGACAGAGGGGACACTATCACACTCACTTTTTTTTTTTTTTTTTTTTTTTAGGGAAGGGTCTTCAGGGTGTTCAGGGTCTAACTACTAGATCGGACTAGTGATCTAGTTTACACCTGTTTACAGCCTCCCAAGAGCTAGGATTACAGGCATGCGACATCAAGCCCAGTCTCAATTGCCGTCTCAGCGAGCCCCGGGGGCAGGGCCGGCACAGCAAACCTGGGCATGGAACCCCCAGCCCCTGCACTTGCTTGCAGACACTTTAATCCGCTGAGCTATTTGGCCAGCCCACATTTACTTTTTTTGATTGCTAGCATTTGGTCTGAGATCTACCATACAGCCAGGCTCAATAAATGTTTCTTCAATAACTGTGATTTTTTTTTTTTCAGTTTTGGGGATTGAATCCAGGGCCATCATGGGAAGTTACAGCTACAGCCCTTTCCTTTATTTTATTTTTTGCTGTGAGACAGCATCTTGCTGAGTTGCCAAGTTGCCCATCCTGGGCTTGAACTTGCACTTCTCCGGCCTCAACCTCCTAGAGTATAATATATATTAAAGTCCCTTAGGCTGGTGAGATGGCTCAGTGGTCTAAAGCACCTACTCAGAATAAGCTTAGCAAAGCACAGGGACCACGGTTCAATCCCCCAGCACCACATGCCAGCCAGCCCCGCCCCCTGGTGGGCTGAGCTGGCCACACACAAATAAATAAATAAATAAAATTTAAAAAAAAAAAAAAAAAGTCCCTTGCCCCCAACCATCTACTGGAAGAATCACCACCTACCTGGCCTACATCCACATTGTCCTGAGTTGTCTCATCATTCAGGAAAGAACTACCTGTGTCCCCTCTCCACCCACACTATTTACAAAAGGACCCCTGGATACCCTGTATATCGATGTATTACTTTGGGCTAAAATCTTAGCAACAACCAACACTCTGTCTCCGCCCTGCTGGGTCCCCCTGAGCTCCAGGGACAGCAGGGACCTCTCTTTACCTCATGAGCTGAGCCTGGGCAGGTCTCGGGCCCCTGGGACCTGGAGTCATGCACTCACCCAAGATGCTCATCACCACCAGGATGGCGAACAGCAAGACCGCGATGGCCCCCAGCAGGAGCCGCGTGGTGGTATCTACGGAGAGAAGAGAGGCGCATGCGCCGCTGCCCGCATGGGTGTCGAGCTTGCATGTTAGAATGTGACCCCTTTCCTGGCTTCAGGTCATGCCACTGTGTGGACACATCAGTTGGTTTTTATCCATGCCCCTGCTGATAGCCCTTGGGTCGCCTTTGGCCTCTGTGAAAAGGCCCGGATTTCTCTGAGCCCTCACTTTCCTAGGTACACACCTAGGAGTGCAGTTGCTGGATCGTATGGTGATTCTTTGACGGTTTAGCTGCCGAACTGCTTTCCAGCGACTGGCGCACTTCTCATTTCCACACACCTTCGCCACCGCAGGCTGCCTTCTCTCTCTTTCCTGTCCTCCCCCCACCCCATCTTACCCTTCATTGTGCAATGTCTTGGCCACTAGGAATTCACCATGAAGACTATGGAAGGACACTAGCATTCTTTCTTAAAGAAGTGGCCCCTGGAACTCTCTCTGACCTGCTCCAGTCTGGCTGGTCATTTCCTAAACCCTGCTGCCACCTTGGAGACTCTCTACACCAGCAGCCTGAGAACAAACATTCTTTCTTTCTTTCTTTTTCTTTTTTGTGGAACTAGGGATTGAACTCAGGCCCTTGCACTTGTACTGAGCCCTCTCCCTGGCCCTTCCTTCTTTCTTTCTTTCTTTCTTTCTTTCTTTCTTTCTTTCTTTCCTTCTGTGCCCTGCTCAGCCCACCCTGGGGGTGGGGCTAGCGTGGCATGTGGTACTGGGGATCGAACTACAGTCCCTGGGCTTGCTTAAGCTTGCCTACGGAGGTGCTTCAGACTGCTGAGCTATCTCACCAGCCCCAACCTGAGCCTCTCTGCCTCCCTCTGCTGTCCTGGCTCTCCTGCTGCTTCTCCTCATTTCTTCCTCTATCTTGGCAGGAGCACACCTTTCAACAACCAGCTCAGAAATGGTGCACTGTGCACCGCCCCAAGGAGCAGCTTGTCCCCTCCATCATAGTGACCATGCCCCAGGAGCTGTGAACTCACAGGCCTGACTTTAAGGGAAGGGATTTAAGGGAAGGGAATCCCCTGACTGGAAGGGATTCCTCAGAATTCTGGGGATATTAATTCCCTCTGGCACCCATGTTGTTCTTGAAATGTCAACACAGTTCCGCCTCAGTAATTACTCTTCCTATGCAATGGCCCACAACAGAAGGAGTTGAAAGGTGCAGTTTATTTGGGTTTCAAAGTGTGTGAGATTTGGACTAATATTAAAAGGAACAGCCGGAAAACTCTAGCTCATAAACCCAGACAAAGCTCCCATCATCCTTGCACCAGTCGCCCCCAAAGGCCTGTGGCTGACATCTCTAAACCATCACGGTGGAGCCAGGACAGCATCACCCTGACTATAAAAAACCATCAGACATGGAGCTTGGTAATTTGTAAATCCGTAAGAGGCTTTGCTAAATGCGTGTGTGTGGTTTTGATCAGGAAGTTGTGGGTTTCTGCCTAATCCAGAAACTTTCAACATTAAAAATTCAGAATTGGTGAGCACTGAAAAATCTATAGTCTGAGGAAAACAGAATCACTCTGTCCCCTCTGCCTTGTCCCAGCCACTTTGCCCTACTCCCACCCCCAGTGCCAGAAATATCTGCATCTTCATCACCTCGGTGTCCCCAGAAGCCAGCTGGAGCTCTGGGTCACCTTTGCCATCTCTGGCTTGAGCCTGGGGTGAAGGAAACATTCAGTCCACAGGAGACACCCGGGCACAGGAACTTCTGTCCACCTTTGTGAGTCTAAGGCCACCACCCATCTAGGGAAATCTCAGGCCCGGGAGGGGGCGCCCCTTCAGCTCTGGCTCTTAGCTATGGGAGTTCCCAACATAGAAGTGTAGTCTACACTTGAGGTGGCAGCCGTCTGAGGGGATGAGAAAGAGAGCCACATGTACAGCGAAGTGCAATCCGATTCCCTCCAATAAGCCTGGCAGTCAGAAGTCCTTGGTTACACAGGAAAGGGTCATGAGCTCACGGCAGAGGCTCCAGGGCACACCCCAGGGGCGTTTCATGTGTTAGCACCCAAGCTATATCCTTGAGAACAGCACTTAGACTCTCAGGCTCTGCGTCCTCCCCTGTAAAACAGTGCTCATCAAGTCCACTTAGGGACAAGGCTCAAGAAACAACAAAGGTGAAACCCACAGAGCTGGTGCCTGATAACTGTTCCATGCCCCTGGAGGCTCAGCTGGGTCACGTCTAAGTGTCTAAGCGCAACGTGGTGGTGCATGCCTGTGATCCCAGAACTCTGGAGGCTGAGACAGGAGGATCTCTGCAAGTTCCAGGCCGGCCTGAACTACACAGCAGGACCCTGTCTTAAAAAAAAAAAAAAAAAGTGTCCTCTGTGTGTGAAGACAGGTGCCCAGCCAAACAGAAGCTGGGAGATCCTATGGTCCTGGATCCCTCACCCAGTCGACAGTGGGTCATCACACAGAGTGAGTGGCTTGGAGGTCAGTTTCAACAGACAGCAAGTCACCCATGTGCCCTGGGCTCCCCTGTCATGCTGCGGGGTGCCACATCTGGGAGCTGGGACAAGGGTCACCACAACAGAATGCAGTCATGGTCCTCAGTCTGTATGGTCCCCCAGAATTAGAAATCTGACTGAGCAGAGATGGAAACAGCATCAGGCAAGTCTGCAAAGCTGCCAGGCACAGGGGGGCAGAGTCTGGATCAGGTTTGCCAGACACTTTACACCCCAGGGGCTGGCGCAGCCCATGTCAGGACCTGTGAGGAGTGTGTCCAGGGCCTGGTATGATCCCAGAAAGAGCAAAGGAGGGTGAGGACCCAGGGTCACAGGGCCATTGTGAAGGACCATCCTAGACCAGGGCTCCCCTCCTCTGACACCAGCAGAGGGCAAGTCCCCACCAGGACGCAGACCTGTCCTTCTCACCATGTGGACCTCGGTCCCAGGCCCTAACCCCTGGTGTGGCCTGCGGGGGGGTCCTCAGGCTCCCCTTCCCACTACACCCCATCCTGGGACAGAGGTTCAGTTGGCCATCCAGGCCCTCCATCCACCCTCCTCTGTCCTTTCCACACTCCTAGGCGGTCACCCACTCCAAGAAGCCACCCCACCCTAGTTAATGCTGCCAAGTCTCCCTCTGCCCTGAACTTGGGGTCCTAGGAGCATCCTGAAAAGCGCGGATGGCGGTGAGCCCTCTCTCCTGTCCCCCGTTTCTCTGCAGCCAAGACGAGTTTCCTGAACGAACTCACGAACTTGAAATCCGTCTCCACCGGGTTGCTGCCCCGGCCAGCCGCTCTCCGAGCCAGTCAGAAAGGGCAGGGACACCGGCTGTGCGTGGAAGCAGCCCTGGGGTCCCGCCCCACGCCCCCGCCCAAGCTCCGCCCGCCGCACGTGCACGAGCCTCTCAAGGGACCCGGCTCAGCGCAAGCGACCCCAAGGTCACCGGCGGAGTTGGCGGCGGAGGTGGCACCGCGGGTCCCGGGGGCGCCAAGGTGACCGCCAGGCGGGCCGCGCTTACCCTCCAAAGCCGCCTTCCAGCTGGTGCTGCCCTCGTAGCCCGAGCCCGATCGCCGCAGCAGCGCCTCGGGGCCGCGGGCCTCGGCCTCGGCGGGCGAGCGCGGCCTGGGC